AGTTTGGTTAGGAGTTGCTGTTATGGGAGGGCTTATGTGTTTATTGTTTTTGTCTCTTTTGTAGTTGTCTTGTGGTAGATCTGTGTTTTGTGTTTGTGTTTGTGTTTTAGGTTTGGGCCGTTGGCCTCTGTGCATCCGGGTGTCAAATTTCTTACTCCGATTGGGGTCCGACACTCCGGTATTACTCCGATTGGGGTCTTGTTTAGTAGTTTTTGTTTTTGTGTCGTTGTTTTATTACCCTGTGGGGGTCTTGTCTAGTTGCTTTGTTTAGTTGCGAGTTTTTCTTTCTAGCGGTTGCTAGCCGGGTTTCTAGGCGGTCTCCGGACCTGTCCTCCCACTTTTCAGCCGTTGGCTGCTTGTATTCGCACACTTGTGCGCTTTTGATCTATAATATTATCTATCGTTTCGGAAAAAAAAAAAAAAAATAGTTAGCAAAGTACCTTGCTTTCAAAATTTTGCTCACCAACAGAGTTGGATTAGTAAGAATTCTCCATATATGTTTCAGGATTCTCCATAAATATATTTAATATATTTAAACAATTCCGTACAAATATATTTATTATATTCTTACGCATATTATTGAACTTTTTTGTCCATTTTATCCTTTTATGCATTTTAAATAAAAATTCTACAAATAAAACTAATAATGTACATAAATTAATTTTTAAAATTTAAAATCATTTTGATAAATTCAGTTAGTTTTTTTTGATATTATAAATGGTTATATATTGATCTTTATTTATTTTTATTGAGCCTCAACAAATATATATTCTTTCTTTTTTTATTGTACATTTTATCAAATATCTTATTTGTTTATTTTATGTTATTTCTTGAACCCTAAGACAACTCTCGTTCCACAATTACACAATCCCACACCCAAAAAAAAAAAAAAAAAAAAAAAAAACCCCAATCTGAAATTCCTAATTGCATCTTACTGCCATGGGACAAGGAACTCCAGGTGGACTCAATCGGCAACCCGGAGATCGTAAGAACGATGGCGACAAGAAGGAAAAGAAGTTTGAGCCGGCGGCGCCTCCTTCTCGCGTTGGCCGTAAGCAGCGCAAGCAGAAAGGTCCGGAGGCCGCCGCAAGGATCCCGACGGTGACGCCGCTGACGAAGTGTAAGCTCCGGCTTCTGAAGCTAGAGCGGATCAAGGACTATCTTCTGATGGAGGAGGAGTTCGTGGCCAATCAGGAGAGACTGAAGCCGCAGGAGGAGAAGACGGAGGAGGATCGATCGAAGGTCGATGACCTGAGAGGCTCGCCGATGAGTGTCGGCAACTTGGAGGAGTTGATTGATGAGAACCACGCCATTGTTTCTTCTTCAGTCGGGCCGGAGTATTATGTTGGGATCTTGTCCTTTGTGGATAAGGACCAGCTCGAGCCTGGATGTGCTATTCTTATGCACAATAAGGTACATTTCCTGCTTTAACTGCGTATTTTTTGTGTCGTTGGATTAATTAGAGTTTTTAATATGTGGAAGACAAGATTTAAGAGGAAATGCACATTAAAAGGTTCGCTTAATTTTATGCTAAGCAAGCTTTAGAAGTGAAGCAGGTACTGAATGGAAGAGAGGCTTTTCTGCGTTCCTGTGTAGTTAATGTTGTAATGGAATATAAAATTACAATATACTTGTAATTGAACAAAATTTTAGGACAGTTTGCTGGTTTGAAGATTTCCCTGGAAAGGAGATGCCTTGTGAGACTTGGTGGGAGGCTGATGCCTAAAACAGTTGCTTAACATTGGAAAGTTTTTGACTTGGCACAGGTCCTTTCTGTTGTTGGGCTGCTTCAAGATGAAGTCGACCCCATGGTATCTGTGATGAAGGTCGAGAAGGCTCCATTGGAGTCATATGCTGATATTGGTGGTCTCGATGCTCAGATCCAGGAGATCAAAGAGGCAGTTGAGCTTCCATTAACGCACCCTGAATTGTATGAAGATATTGGTATCAAACCACCCAAGGGCGTCATACTCTATGGAGAACCAGGAACTGGAAAAACTTTACTCGCAAAGGTTTGTGTGTGTGCGTTTTTTTTATAATATATTATTTGTTTGTTTGTTTGTTTGTGTACATTTGAATTGTTAAGTTCATATTTTTATACTCTAGTCAAGTATTACTTATTACATGACTGGCTGTCTTCTAGTGATTAAGCTCTGTGGATCGGTAATTTTTCAGTGGAAAAGATGTGAAGTTCATTGTAACTACTTTTGGCTGAGATTTTTACATTTTCTTGATAATGTAACCAAGATTAGCAATAATAACGGTTAGCATGGAGATTGCTTTCTTATCTTTAGATCTTTATTCTTGTTCACAAGTAGCTTGGGAAAGTTTAGTTCTGTGGCTTATATGCTGCATATGACTTCCTGTTATCTGACTCAAATATTTTTGTCTCTTATCATTATTCTCATTTCGTAAAACAGTTCATGTATGAGTATTTAATCAAACCTCTTGTTTTCATTAAATTCTTCAGGCTGTGGCAAATTCTACATCGGCAACTTTCTTGCGTGTTGTTGGAAGTGAATTAATTCAGAAATACCTGGGAGATGGGCCGAAGTTGGTGAGAGAACTCTTTAGAGTTGCTGATGATCTCTCACCGTCTATCGTATTTATTGATGAAATTGATGCTGTGGGGACAAAAAGGTAAAATCTTCTGATGTTAATGATCTTGGCTAGTCCAAGCTGGTGCTTACTATTATTGTTTTCTGAAGGTATGATGCCCATTCGGGTGGTGAACGTGAAATTCAGAGGACTATGTTGGAGTTGCTTAATCAGTTAGATGGTTTTGATTCTAGAGGAGATGTGAAAGTAATTCTTGCTACAAATAAGATCGAAAGTCTTGACCCTGCACTCCTCCGGCCAGGTAGAATAGATAGAAAGATTGAATTTCCTCTGCCAGACATCAAGACAAGAAGACGGATTTTCCAGGTAATTTTGAACTGTTTTGTGGTTTAAAATAGGAATCAGTGATCACTTTGAATGATTGAGCTCACTTGTTTGTATTTTTCGAGTTTAGATACACACATCAAGGATGACATTGGCTGATGATGTCAACTTGGAAGAATTTGTTATGACAAAAGATGAGTTTTCTGGAGCTGATATCAAGGCCATATGTACTGAAGCTGGCTTGCTTGCACTTAGAGAACGCCGCATGAAGGTAACCATGCAAATCTTTCAGTTTTTTTTCTCTTTTTACCTCGAGAAATCATTTACTGGGAGGAACATATATTCAGTAGCTAGCTTCAATGCTAGTGCTTATTAACGAAACATCCCTCAACTTATTTTTCCGATTCATTTTCATTCTTCTATGCTCTTATCTGGTGTTAATACACTAACTTATGTCCACTGGCACACTGTTTCAACATGAAGCCTGCGGCTCATTGTAAGACATTTGGATCGTAATTGTTTCATCTGGTCGATGTGTCTCATGGTTTTGTTGCGTATCTCTTTGGTATCGAACTGTGTATATATAGTGAAGTATTTATTTAATGTGATATTCAGGTGACCCATGCAGACTTCAAGAAGGCTAAAGACAAGGTCATGTTCAAGAAGAAGGAAGGCGTCCCTGAGGGACTCTACATGTGATGATGATCAAATTGTGCTTCTTCTATTGTTAACTTCGTTTAATTGTACTCTTCATGCTTTGAAATTACATTCAGGCAATTATCATGGACCAAACAAATGTTATTTTACAGCTTGGTGATCGATATATTGGTAATGTTTGGTAAAGAGGGTTGTGCTCAATTTGGAGTCTTCAGCGTTGTTTGGTAACTAAATAATAGTTTAATCTTAATCACTATTTTGGATAAAATAACCTAATTTTGCAAAATTCTAAAAGATTATATTTTTAAATAAATTACAGTTTATTCTATGACATGCATAATGTATTTTGTAAGTAAATTATTATTTAATGACTGGGAGTGTCGGTAGCTCGGCATTAAAGTAGTTCGGATTGCAATGAAGCTAGGCCGCGAAAGAGACCTAGGAGTGTCGGGAGCTCGGCATGTAAGTAGCAGTTCGGCTTACAATGAAGTTAGGATGGTTATGAGCTTGGCACTAGAGTAGCTCGGATTATGATATAGTTAGGCTGAGTGGGAAACCTGGAAGCAAAGGGAACCCAACACAGGGTAGCTCGACATGTAACAAAAAGAGGGCTTAGAAGGGAAGGCTTGAGTAAAGAAATATATGCAGGTTAAAGGCCGAGCTAACATGGTAGTTATACAAGGTGGTCCGTAACGGACATGTGTAAGATCAAGATTCAAACGGAATAAATGATCTTACGAACGGGGAACCAAGCGTACGGGAGAAGCTAATAATTACATAGAAATAGACAATTAGAGGAAGAAGGTAAGGCTAATTACACTCTACAAACCCTAAGCAATACATACAGATACATACATCTTTCCTCTACCCTTTACTGACTTGAGCGTCAGAGGTTTAATGACAGGAGCACCTCCCGACGTCTTTGCAGTTCTCCGGAGAGCAAGCAGTCGAGGATCAGCAGAAGGCCGGTCCAAGGTGCAAGAGAACATCACTATAATCCATTTGCTAATACATACCGTTGATGCTATACTACTATCGTTGTTACAATCTAATCGTTAATGCAATTTGTTGCTACCCGCTATTTCTATTACAATTTGTTCTTATGATATATTGCTACTAGTCATTCATGAATACAATTTGCTAGTCAAATTTGTTGGTAGTGTTATTCGCTAATACAATCTGCTGTCGAAATTACAACATAATTTTTTGTGCTCTCTTGTGGTTGCTTGAAAGTAGAGGTTTCTTGTGATTCTTACAAGTTTGTCTAGTCTCAAAGTTGCTCCGATTGACACTTGCTAGGGATTATTTATTGCCTTCCTCAATCTAAACCAAACTATATGTCAAATCCTTAAACCAAAATTCATTGTGTTTGCACGTAAAATAATTCATAAAGTCCTTCCATATAGTAGGCAATTTTTCATGTCTTTGTCATTTTGAAAACTTCATCCACAATTAATCATTCGGTCAACATGTCGTGAAGGATGATTTAAGTTTCTTGGTTGACCATCGATATGGTGCAAACCATCAAGTACTTTAAAAACGTATTGAAGAGAATTATTTTGATTCCGACATCTTCATACTTGTGCTTCACCTCCAAGGAAATAACGAGTCATCTTGTATGTTAAGTTAATTTGTACATAAATCCTCTTAGATGTTATAGAATAAAATCTTTTGTTGTCATTTTAAAATTGAATTTCGATGGTTTATCACATTGGAAAGGGTTAGTTTCCATTGGAGTGAATAGATTCAACTCTCCACTTATTTGCTTGAATGTAAGGTATATCACATTGGAAAGGGTTAGTTACCATTGGAGTGAATAGATTCAACTCTTCACTCATTTGTTTGAATGTAAGGTATTGACCGGATCTAATGCAAGAAAGAAGTTGTTGTGCTTCAAATGACTCTTAACATCTTCTGGCATTAGTGTACATTTCGAATTCGAGCGGAGGCAGTTTAATTAAGCTAACGGTTTCTTATGCCATGACGATTAACAAGAGCTAGAGTCAGTCTTTATCTCATGCTAACATGTTCTTGAAGAAGTCGGTGTTCAGTCACAACCAGTAGTATGTAGTTGTTTTCAATGTCACTAATTAAAAGGCTTGAAAATACTGATTTGCGAATAGGATGGCGTGAGATTACAAGACAAAAAATGTTGTCCACAAAGAAATTTCTAATAACTTATAACATTATTTTTTAATATTATTTATTTAATTTTTTTCATTCACAAATATAATAATAAGATTTGATAAATAGCCTAAAATTGTCCCACCCGCTACACTAGTACTTTGGTAAACATAATTATGTTTCCATTCCTAAAAACTTTGGTAGAACTATTAATAATTAACCAAGCCACAGCAACTTCATAATATGAAAATTTAAAAGAACAACACACAACCAAGCAAAAGTTGCAAGTCAACAACTAAAAGTACTCGAAAGGTACTAAAAAAAATAAAAATCTCACACAACAACACATGTTTAAACCCCGAAACAAATTCATGCAAATTAAACGCACTAAAACAAACGAACACACACTCTAAAACAAAGGACGACGCCAACTTCTCATCAACAGAAACGAAAAAAGGCTTCAAGGAGACGGCAGCGCGCCACCGCCAAGCCCGCCGGAGTTCCCAAATCCTCCAGGGATGGTGCCGGCGCCGCCCAGCCCACCACCGCCAAGCCCGCCAAAGTTCGTAAAACCTCCAGGTATGGTACCGACAGTACCGCCCAGCCCACCGTTGGGCCCCGTCCCGATAACCCCACCGACGCCGCTGAACCCGTTGGTCCCACCGAGGTCTCCGCCGGTACCAACGCCTGCGCCGACGCCGCCGAACGGAATGCCGTTGTTCCCGATGCCGGAGTAGCCACCGACCCCGCCGACCGTGACGAAGTTCTTCTGGTCAGTGAGACCCGCGCCGTTGCCACCTGGAAGAACCCTAGCGGCTGCCGCCTGATGGGCGGCGGCGAGGAGAATAGTGACGAGAAACATGAAACTCCACTTCGCCATTTTTATTTTTTTTTTAAATTTTAGGTCAATTGAGTCTTGCAAGAATGTGCAAATAGCCACTGACATTTTATAGGGAAAATGGAAAGGAAGCAGTTGGGAGAATTCAATGCATGGAAATAAATATTTGCTTCATGGATTATTTGTTGCCATGTACGTACATGCAGTGTATTGTCTGCAAAAACTTGTGCATTATTTACAAAATTTCTTTTATTTTCATTTTTTTTTTATTTGCGTGGGAATGATAAAATCATAAAATACCCCATCAGTTGATCATATCTTTGACCTGGTTTCAATATTGTTTATTAGATAATACGATCAACCCTCACTTTCAAACTAAATCATCTTGATTATAAAGTTTTATCGATGATTTCGGTAATCACTTGACCGTCGAAAAGTCTACGCCTCTGGCGTTGCTTTGCAAGTTGATTCGATTTGTGGTCATAGACATTTATTAAGGCGAAGTGGATCAACCAAAAATTTTGATATGCCTTTAGAACAATAGTTGCTAATGACTGATGTTAGTAACTCGTCGGAGAGATATCGTCACCCGATTGCCGGCGAGATCACAGTCAAACACAAGATACAAAAGAATACGCTCTTGTTTGGTGCTATTAAATTGACAGTTCTTCTTGTGTTATTCTATTCCTAGTATATATAGATCAGGAATACAATAAGTTAAATAAGACATACAAATCAAGATTACATGAAAATTATAATCGACCAAATATTCGCAGCTAATCTAGAGGAGAAAATAAGAAAAACAAATAAACTAATTTAGGTGAACAATGATTATATCCTATAATAGAAGATTTCACACAATCTCATCGTGAGCTTTTGCACATTGCTGACAATAATCAGACCGATCTTAGAATGCAGTTCATGAAACTTGGTCTTCCTTATCAGCTTCGTCAGATGTCTAATAATTTGACAATTTAATCAGTTGATCCTTTTTTACGTGGGATCATAAAATTATAAAATTTATTGGTCATATCTTGACTTTTATTAGATAATATGATCCAACTCACACTTAAAGACTCAAATATATACAATCCATCTTATCTATCTTGATTACAAAGTTTTATTCGTTCTGATTGAGCGTCAAAAGATCTGCGCTTTTGCCATTGCTTTGCAAGTTGATCAGATTTGTGGTTAGAGACAATATTATGGTTATTTAAGGGGAAGATAAACAAAAAAAATTGGTGCACTTAAGAACAATAATTGCTAACCAGTGATTATTATATATAGAACTCAAAAAAATTTGGTTCACTCTAGAACAATAATTGCTAATGAGTCATTCTTATATTTAGAACTAAAAATAGTATGTTTGCATGTGGAAATACTTGATTTTATACTTAATATTCTAGAAGCTAAAAATTGATTAATAGAAATAATTTATTTTATAATTACAATTCTAAAAGCCAAAAATTGATCAATAGATTAAAACGTATATCATACTTACAAAATATACACATCTCTCTTTTTTTATTTGTATTTAATTAAACCATTCTTTCAAACATACATTTGATGATATTAGTATATATTACATCTATTTTTATTAACCAATGATAAAGGGACTTATATCTATTTTTATTAACCAATGATAAAGGGACTTATTTTAGTTATGTGGCATCATGAAAATAACTCAGTTTGGTCTATATAGTTATTTCAATATATGTTATTAGATAATAAGATCTAGACTGATTGGTTATTGGATAATGAGATTCGATTCTCCATTGAGAAGAGAATTCTAGGCATGTAGGTTGTTTTGCAAATTTGTGGTGTTTTGCACATTTTGATGCCGCCTTTAAAAACGGTGGCTAATGACTGATTCTAGAACCTAAAGCTAAAAAAATTGAATACATTCAACTTATATCTTTATTTTGGATTTAGATTCAATAATTAACATATTCTTTCAAACATACGAGACTAATTAGCTAACAGGTTCGGTTCATCCACAATAGGATTTGCAACACTTCTCCAAGGGAGAGCTAAAACAGAAAATCAGCTAAAAACAAAGAAACTAGAAATCACTACTAAA